TTGTTTACTAAATTCTCAGATCGTATTTAATACATTCATTTTGTATGTCGTGTATGGTACATGTGATTGATGTAGCGATAAAAAAATAATCAAATGTTCAACATTAATTAATCTTATATTATAATTTTTAGGTGTCATATTGTTTAGTTAATAAATTTTAACTAGTTCAAATCATGTTATTTCATAGTATCGAAACAATTTTGTATATAATTTCTTTGTAGAATTAAAAATAAGGCATATTTTCTTACATGTTCAACATGTTAAACTTCACATGATGTGAGATATATAATTTAACAATCCTTTGAATTATGAAAGTCCAAATTAGATCGATTAGTCCATAAGTCAGTGATCAAGTTGGCCCTCAAAACCACAATGTTGAGACATCTCATGAGCTCTAAATGAGCCAACTCACGAGTTGAGCTCAACAAGCCACCGAGTCGAGCTAGCTCGCGAGCTTCACGAGCTGAACAAAGCTAAGCTCAAGCTTGGCTCGTCAGTAAACGAATCGAGTTTCGAACGAGCTTTTCCCGATTCGAGCCTCGAGTTGCTCGCGAGTAGCTTGGCTCATTTGCAGCCCTAGTCATATATTTAGGTTGCATATTTAATTATATCCTTAGCATCTGTGTAGTCAAATGCGCGTTTCTACGCAGAAGTAAGAACGTAAAACGTAAAAGCGTAAGTTTTTGGGTATAATCTGAAACCTTCAACAAAATACATCTCATTTAAAAAGATCACTACTCATGCAAATAATCTAATTTGAAAACTTTTAATGAGCAAACGTATAACTAAATCAACAATGCAATAAGAAAATAATGAGACTTCTTCATTCATTACAGAAATATAACTAATTAACAACTACACCTCATTATCAGTCATTTTGTTTCAATATGTATGTCAAATTAAATAGGATTACTAAGGCATATTTTATTATAAGGTTCTTCATCCATTGAATGCGAGAGATTTCTAGAGGACGAAGGTGCAAAAATCTGCACCCTCATTCATCTCCTTTGTTTTCCCTTTTCGGTCCTTTCTTTCCTCTCCACTCCTTATACCTTCATCACGACCAACATCAAACCTTGAATGAACCACAATAGTTGATCATGTATGCAATCGGGCAATGATAAGTTTTGTGGTTTTCATGTCTTAGGTGATTGTGTATGCAACCGGACAACGATAAGTTATGTGAATGCTATACCTCGGTTATTGATTGTGACACCAAAAGGCGATACACCAAATATTTTGTTTAATGAAAGATATTTAGTTTATGTAAATGTTCCAAGTTATGTTATTCTCTTAAAATTTCTTACTCAGTTTTCTTCAATATGATGTTTTCGATTTCTTTAATGTATTTAATATTTATTAATCGGGTTAATTGCATGGTTAGTCACCGAGATTATAAAAAACATTCATATTTGGTCACTGGAAATATTTAAATCCAATCTTGGTCACTCAAATTAATTAGTTAAATGGTTCAAGTTTGGTCACTCTCCGTCCAACTCTGTTAAATTTCTTTGATGTGGCACTCAACCCTCAAAATTGACCGTTAACTCAGTGACGCCGCAATTAAAAATAATAAATAAAATAATTTTTAATCTTCTACCATTTTCAACTCATTTTCAAAATAAAGTAAAATAAATAAAACAAAAAAATATTATAATTACAAATTGGAAAGGGGCGCTTCCCTTCTGGTCGGCGGCGCATTACTAGACGGAGAAGACCGTGGAGGGTACGAAGGCGGCGGCGAGGGCGGTGAAGGGGGCGGCGGAGTACGCCGGGCATAAGACGGCGAAGCTGGTGGGGAAGCCGCTGGGGGCAGTGAAGAGCGTGGTGGGGACGACCGGGGAGAGCGCGAAAGAGTACACGACGAGGAAGAACGAAGAGGCGCAACGGGAACTGGAGACGAGGAACGCAAGATTTGGTTTTGTTCAAATTGTTGAAATCGGGTCTTAATTTATCGATGATTAGCGTGTGATTTTGTCTAATTGGAGGATGGTAAGGAGAGGGGTTTCAGGGGAGAGCAGAAATCGACGGGGGCGGCGAAGGAGAATTCACGACGGAGAAGTGGTCAACGGAGACGACGACGAGAGGAGGAGGAAGGGAGGAAGGAGACGAGGAAGGCGGCGTAGTGTTGGGAGCCATCGGCGAGACTATATTGGAGATGCACAACAGACTAAGAACATGGTAATCGGACAACCACCGGATGACGACGAGTGTGTCGGTGGAGGGGCGGAGGGCGGTGTCGGGTTTGAATATGCGAGCAGAAGGGAAGAGTACATCAGACAATAAAAGCGTTAATAAAAACGAATAATTACCTTGAAGTACAAGATAATGCATTTATTCTGGTGTATATATTGTGCAACACCTGTATTCCGATTCCTTTTCAATTTTCATGTTGAAGGTCTAAGGAGATTAGTTTATCCTTCTCCACCACCAAAACATTGATGCTTTGGCCACTTTTCAATTTGTAATTATAATATTTTTTGTTTTATTTATTTTACTTTATTGTGAAAATAAGTTGGAAATAGTAGAAGATTAAAATTTATTTTATTAATTATTTTTTAGTTGCCACGTCACTGAGTTAAGGGTCAACTTTGAGGGTTGACTGCCACATCATGCAAATTTAATGGAGTTGGACGGAGAGTGACCAAACTTGAACCATGTAACTAATTTGAATGATCAAGATTGGATTTAAATATTTCCAGTGACCAAACATGAACGTTTTTTGTAATCTCAGTGATCAACCATACAATCAACCCTTTATTAATCATTAAGGGCATTTTGTTGAAATTAGTGCTTGGCCAAATTAGAGTGTTACACCAAATATTTTGTATTATTGGACCAAAAAAATGGAAAAAATCCAAAACTACAACTATAAGAAAAAATTTACAAAAATACCACACATACCCAACAATCTCCAAAAATACCACCCTTCCATATAAAACGCACCCAGAAGGAGCGGTTATCAAACAAAACGCGCCTCCAAGGCGCGGTTAAAGAGCCTTGGATGTTATTGATGACACACATGTGTGTGTGTTCACCGCACGGGATATTGACCCAATGGCCGACTCTCTTGCTCTGGATGGCCCGGACCCTAGCTTTGCATCCCTCATTTTCATTCTTGCATTGAACCATTAGCCTCTTTGTGTCGGAATGGGTTGTTTGCCATTCAAAACTCCGAGTCATTGCTTCAGTGGCAATAGCGTGCCGGACATCATTCTTCGTTCCAAATTGTTGGCCCTTGGTAAAGCCAGTGAGTGCACCCCATACTGGCACCTCTAGCGGGTCCATGCCGACATCAACATACCAATCTTCATTTTGAATGTGATTGTAGTATGGAATAGGTACACGGTCGCGAGGTACCTCAGCACCGTCTGCGTCTGAATGTGGACCAGAATCATCAGCACCTTCCAGCGGATCGGAGCTGTCTGCACTAACTTCGCCTTCCTCTTCTTCAATCTCAGGGTCACTAACTGGACTTGGATTGACCTCTTCTTCCATCTGATTATCATCATGAAAGGCACCTTCACCAGCTCCGTAATGGTAGTTGTGGTAACTAACACCGCTTTGATAGAAGTTGTAATCGGGTGGGTACTGGTAGCCTGCTTGTTGGTTGTGATCCGCCTGTTGAGCTTCTTCTTCATATGACGGGAAGGATTGATGATGACCTCCAGTTCCATGATGATACTCCTGCCTCCAGCTCGAGTCTTGAAAATCCTGGTGGGGATGATCTTCGTATAATACACTCCCACCGTGGATACCAGATGTTTGGCCATCTCAAGAATGACCTACACCGCCTTCGACAGCCTCGGTGTAAACGAACATCTCCGCTTGCTTAATTTTATTGGTGGTCAAAAATTGGACCATGACATCAACGTCCTCCTGAGTGGTAAGGAGGAATTCCTCATTCCACAGCGGCCCGTCATGTCTGTTTGGATATCGATACACCATTTGATCAACTCTTCTAGTGTCATCCATGCAGGTAATCTGAGTGCACATTTGATGGAGCTCTTCAAGCGTCGGTCTCGTACGGACCTTCATTTTATAAAAATTGCCACCGACGTAACTTACACCCTTTTTCGGTCTCTTCCGTGTAACCATTCCACCGCAACCCAAGCGTGAACCTTTGGAACCCAAGTGTAATTAAGGTACTAACATAAAATCACAAAAGACAATGAAAAGTAATACAAGAGCGACATGACAATGAAAAGTAATTAAGTTACTAACATAAAATCAAAAAGGACAATGAAAAGTAATAAAAGTTACTAACATAAAATAAAAAAGGACAATGAAAAGTAATTAAGTTACTAACATAAAATCACAAAGGACAATGAAAAGTAATTAAGTTACTAACATAAAATAACAAAAGGCAATGAAAAGTAATTAAGTTACTAACATAAAATCATAAAGGGCAATGAAAAGTAATACAAAACAAACTTACGAATTAACGTTAATCGCAAAAACTAAATATTTTAAAGGTGCAAAACTGAAATTTGAAGAAGGAAGAGGAGGAGTGTGAAGAATTTATGTTCTCTGAATCAGCCTTTTATAGGCGAATTTTGGACCACAAACCGCGGGTGGGGGGGGGGGGGGGGTGGGGGGAGCGGTTTTAGGTCTGCCATGCAGCCCCACCCCCTGCATGCCGACATGTCTGCTGTCGGGTGACCAGACACAAACCGCGCCTTGGGGCAGCGGTTTATGTCTGCTGTCGACAACAAAACCGCACCTTTAGGCAGTGGTTTGTGTGTGGACAAGGTAAACCGCGCCCTGGAGGGGCGGTTTATCATGCCGACAATAAAACGCTTCCTGTTCAAGCGTTTTGTGGTAGGGTTTGCATATAAACCGCTCCTTAGAGGAGCGGTTTTATCTGGAAAATGAAAACGCTGGCTGACGAGGCGGTTATAGTGTAAACCGCTGCCACGAGGTGCGGTTTGTTTATTAACCGCCACTTAGAGGGACGGTTTTAAATAAGGAGTGGTATTTTTGGAAATTGTTGAGAATGGTTGGTATTTTTGTAAATTTTTTTTAAACAGTGATAATTTTGGATTTTTCTCCAAAAACATTCGTGTACTAGATCAATGGTCAAAGAACGATTCAGCAAAAAGCAAACATAAACTTGAGCGTACAGGATAACAATCACTGCAGCTTGTCATTTTCCGCTTATATTTGCTTCCTTCCTCAGTCCTCACTGACGCACTCACTCCTTTTGTGAGTCGCTGATTCGCTGCTCTTGAAGCGGGACTGCCGATAATCGCCGTTGGACGATCTCCGCGCGAGGCCCTGTCGACATACTTTGTAAGCGTATTTTGCCGATCTTTCCGATGGCCGACTTCTCTCATTCTCTTTGGCTGTCTATTTTAATTTCTCACACTGCTTTTTCCCTGCATCAGTCTCTGTTGCCTTCGCGCGTTCTGATAATCACTGCCTGACCTGAGTCTACCTAGCTCGAACGTCTTCACATTTTCAGGTATACGAGTGTTTCTATCTATTTTTCCGCTGATTCTTGGGGTCCGATTGTTGTCTTTCATCCTGTTTTGCTTTGTTTCTTCAGAAACCCTTTCTCTATTCGTCTCTCGCTTTCTCTTTCTGGTTAGGGTTTTATGGGATATGCTCATTTCATGAGCTAGTTGTGAGATACAGGCGTTATCTCTCCCTCCTTTGGTGTAATATCATGACAGATCGGTGGACTTTTCATGTGTGTACTGATGCACTGCTGTATTCCGGTTTGGTTGTTCACATGCGAACTCGTCCGCGTTGTGTTTTCTTCTTGGGAACAAGTGGGGTACTGTTGGGGAGGATGGGTTGTTGGTTTTTTCGGGTGGGCAATGTGCTGCTTACTATCCCTTTGTTGGCTTCCCCGATGGAGCTGTGGTATCTTTTGTAGGTGATTTTAGACTCTCACCACTTGCGAATAATCTGGGAATGTCTTGTTTTGGCACTTGTGTCTTTTGATCCTCCTTCACTCCTGCCATAATTTCCTTGGAATATGGCTACATTGCCTATTTTCTGCATTTGCTGCACTTGAATGGTCATTCACTTTCTGTGGAGCAGTTGGAACAGTAAACGCTGGCCAGTGATTGTCTGTCCCTTCTTTGACCAGCCACAGATATACTGTGGTGAGTGGCTGGTGGTTGCATGCAGCAAAATCATTGTTTTGATATGACTGTTCTTGTTGCACATTATTCTTGTGGATTTGAGACTTTGTCAAAAGCTTTTCTCGGAACTACTTAACTAGTACTTTTGCCCGATTCCTGTTGTGGGGTTATAGGAAGGTGAATATTTTTGTGTCGCAAAGCTCTGATCTGCACTTTTTAATTAGTAGGTTGTTTTATTTTAGTAATTGGTCATTAGCTGCTATAGGTGATATCTGACCATTTATTTCTGAATGATCTCTCAGATTTAGTCGCTTGCAAGATGAGTTCTAGGGGAAAGGGTGGGAAGTCTTTTGCTTCTGGTACAAGTTCTACTCCATCAAACAAGGGGAAGTCATCCGATACATCCGTTCCCCAGTTGGAGCAGTTGAATCAAGGTGTAGCAGATATTAAACTTGATTCTCCACAAGGTGATGGTGCCTGGGAGGTCTATTCGAAGAAGTCTAACAAGAACAAGGCAGCAAAGTCTTGGGGTACACAAAATTCTAACTCTCAATCTTGGGGACAGATGGATGGGGGACAGCGAAATAATGGTGGAGCAAGAAGGGTGACTGGCAATGCTTGGCCAAATCAAGCAGTTGAGTCTTCAAGACCAACTGGCAGAGGAAATGGAAAGAATCAGGCATCCAATCGGAGCTTGGAGAATTATTGGGCTACTCCACAAGCTGCGGTTCCCCCTCCGCTGACGCATGGTTGGAATTGGCAATCAAGGGCTGGCACAGTGAAAGAGTTGGAAGCGTCACCAGAAAAAGAGCAGGATGATACCAATGAGCAAACTGGTGTTGATGAAGAAGATGATGAAGATGACGGGGTGTTAGATGATAGTGACGATGAGCTTCTTAGTGATGATTATGATTCTGATGTTAGTCAGCAGAGCTTCGAAACCCGTAAAAAGAGCCGCTGGTTTAAGAAGTTTTTTGATAGTTTGGATAGCCTTAGACTGGAGGAGATTGCTGAACCAGAAAGACAGTGGCACTGTCCAGCATGCCAAGGTGGTCCAGGCGCAATTGACTGGTTCAAAGGTCTGCAGCCCTTAATGGCTCATGCTAGAACAAAAGGGGCAAAACGAGTAAAGCTACACAGGGAGCTTGCTGAACTTCTGGAAGAGGAGTTGTCCAGGCGGGGAACTTCTGTTATTCCAGCTGGTGAAGTTTTTGGCAAATGGAAAGGGTTGAAGGAGGAAGAGAAAGACTACGAAATAGTCTGGCCTCCTATGGTTATCATTATGAACACAAAGCTTGATAAGGACGACAATGAAAAGGTATTACTTCTTGCTCTCTTTAGCCGGATGTTTTTGCTTATGCTAGAGTCATATGAGCTTTACTTTCTGCTACTTGAGAATCAATATCAACCAAAACTTGTATCATAGTAACCAACATCAAGCAAGTTACTACTATCTAATGCATCTGTACCTGAATTGTGTTTTCAGTGGCTGGGCATGGGCAACCAAGAGCTTCTTGATTATTTCAGATCATATGCTGCTGTTAAGGCCAGACATTCTTATGGGCCCCAGGGTCACCGTGGCATGAGCCTCCTCATCTTCGAGGGCACTTCAAGGGGTTATTTTGAAGCGGCACGCTTGGACAGACATTTTGCTGACCAGGGAACAGATAGGAACGCGTGGAATAATCAAAGGCGAAACTTGTTTTATCCTGGTGGCAAGAGGCAGCTGTATGGTTTCATGGCAACAAAGGAAGATATGGACATCTTCAATCAGCATTCTCATGGTATTTTCTATCTCTCTATGTGTGTCTATGTGCATGGATATTTCTGTTGTTTGCCCTTTCCCATCTTTCCTTCCACATGTTTGCTCTGCTTATGTACATAGCTTCCCTTTAGAATCGGTGTTATGGGTTTTTTTTTCTCCTCGTAAGATGTTGTGGATCCTTTTTATGACTGTATTGACTTTGGTTTTATGTATATATTAATCTCGTCAATAGGTAAGGCTAAGCTGAAGTACGAGATGAGGTCATACAACGAGGTGGTGGTGCGAGACTATAACCAAGTCTGCAATGATAATGAGCAGCTTACATTTTACAAGACCAAGGTTATAAAAGAACAGAGGAATTCCAGAGCTCTTGCTGAATCTCTTGGCACTGTTAGTGAGAAGCTGCGGAAGACAATGGAGGAAAACCGTATCGTAAGAGAAAGAACCCAGATATATCATGAACAGAACAAAGAAGAGGTAATAAAACGAATTGCAAATCAGTGTTCCTTGGTTTAGGTTTGCTTTTTAGTGATTTGTTAAAGTCATTCGCCACGTATTTACACACCAAACTAGTACGACCATGTCATGGCCTGTTGAGGGAGTTCCTCTGGGTTGAACTCAGAACAGAAAGGAGTAAAAGAGCCCTTGTGTCGTGCTTATTGGCTCTGGATGGGCAATACTGGTTTTGTAGCCAGCGGTCCAGATGCATAGTTATCCTCTTAAGTGAACTTCAAAGAGGTTACAAAGCTATATTTTATTTTGTGAAAAAGGTGTGTTTCTCACCTTACAAGCTTTGTCTGACTAAATAAGTTTCAAGTGTTGTTGTCATCCTTTCTGCTTTATGCTCTTCTTTATTTGCTCAAAAGCTGCTGTTTCTGAAATCTTTTCACTTTGTTATCTGCATTTCAATGAGCATTACTCCATACTGCATTGATTAATGGTGTTTTAAGGATTGAAAAACTGGTCTGTCTAGCTCTATGAAGTGATGTACCGAAGTAAGTCACCACTTCACAACAGTGAATTGAGATGAAAACTGAATGCAGTTAGCAGATAAGTTTGTATAACGAACACATTGTTTGTACATGGTTGCTGGTTTATGCGTGAATGGTGAGAAGTGTCGGTCGGTATTTGGGCAGCATCTCTGTTGGGCTGTGTTTGACAAATTTGAATTTGTGTGTGTTGAAGTTGGATTTCCAAGAAGAGTTCTTCAAGGATCAACTCAGAATCATCCACGAAGAAAGGAAGGCAAAGGAAGACGACTTTGAGAATCGACAGCAGGAGGAGCGCAAGAAGGTGAAAGATCAAAGTTCCCACGGGAAGGAGGAATACAGAAGCAGGTATGGTCTCTATTCAAACTCTGCCAAATAAGCAATTGATCATGCTCGTATATTGCTGGTGTTGATTGGTCCCTTGACCTGTTGGTAGGGTGGATGAGCTCTCAAAGTTCATTCAGCTTCAGGAGAAAGAGATGGAGGAGTTTGTGGATGAGAGGGAGAAGCTTGTGAAACTACACGAGGACAGAATCGCTGCAATGAGGCTGAGACACTGGAGGGAAGAAGTTGATTTGGAGAAAGACTTTGATTCCCAGCTGGCCAATCTCATGAAGAAGTACAGCCCGGATGGGAACACCCAAGCATGAGATATGCCTTGGGGTGAGGAGGAGAGCGTCCCACGATTTGGAGCGGCATAGCTATTAGTAGTAAGTAGTAGTAAAATCCCAGTTAGGAGCGCAGGTAAGTGGACGGAAGTAGTGGTTGCTTCATTCCTTTTGTTGAGGGGGAGTGAGCGAGGTAATGTGCTTGTTTTGATGAACGGGTAAAATGACGAACTCGTGGTACCTGTGGCCTTGCTAGTTATGTTAACGCTTTGTCGAAGCTGGGCGCTTCTCGTTCTCGGTGATTACTGCAATTAGCTTTAGCTTTTTTTTTTTTTTTTTTGATCGATTGGAGGCAAAAGCCAACAACAAAGAAAGAGTTACAGGGGGGTTTGGGGGAGATGGACAATGTTCCGAGGTAAAACCACACCTCGTTGATCATCCTGCAGAATGTGCATCAAAGGGGCTGGCGGGTCAACTAGTTCATACATACCATGGGGATAGACGAGACTGTGCTTTGAGAGTCAGTCCGCGACTCTATTCCCTTCACGGTAAGTGTGTACTATATTGACCAACCAGTCCTGCGTAAGCAACCTGCGGATAGATCTCAAAAGAGAGGCAAAGGGGTGAACATGGTCGAATCTATGCTGAATGAAGTCAATAGCTAGTCGAGAATCCGACTCAACAATGAGGAGCCTGAATCCTCTCCTCCACGCCATCTCCTGACCCTGCTTGATTGCCCAAAGCTCTGCACAAGCCGCCGAACAGTCACCAATGGAGTAATAGAACCCCCTAGCCAGCGTCGTTGATCATCTCTGAAGACTCATCATGCTGTCGCCTTCCCGGGGTTACCTTGAGAAGCTCCATCAACGTTAAGTTTGCACCAACCCCTAGGTGGTGCACTCCAGCCAACATCAGCCTCGACCCTGTCCGGCTTTCGATTACCACGAAGCTGCAACGGTGAGGGAGCCATCCAGGCAGAGTGCCAAAGATTAACTTAAGGTGGATAGCATGCCGCAGAGAGTGGGGAGACAAAAGCTTGCTACCATCGCTGAAGACACCTTTGTTCCGGTTCTTCCAAAGAGTCCACATAGCAATGCTGAAGCTTGAGGCCCAGTGGACGCCATTACTGTCCGTCTTCGTGTTAAGGATATTCATGCGAACCCACTGATCAAGGTCTGCTGTCAGGAAATCCATCATGTTGTTTTCTGGCACCTCTCTTGTCCAATAGAAGAGGGAGGCCGGGCAGTCCCTCAGGATATGAAGCTCGGTCTCTGGCACATTAACACACCTGGGACAAAAAGGATTAGGAGCTATGTGCCTTTCGAACCTCCTTTTGTTGGTGTTGATGCGATGGAGAAGAACCAGCCAGATGAAGTGTCTAACGCGCTCCGGAACTTGAAGGTTCCACACTGCTTTCCAGGTCTGCTGATCTGTAGTCTGGGGCGCAGGAAAGGCAATCCGGTAAGCCGATTTAGCTGTGAAATCCCCAGTAGAGGTGGGTTGCCAGAATAATCTGTCTTCTTCAGTGGAGAGCGGATCAGTAGCTATCGACGTGATCTTATCCATGACATCCGTTGGCAGCCATTGTTGGAAGAGCTCCACCCGCCATTGGCCGTCATCATTCATGTAAGTAGCTACTGATTTTTGAGCCTCCATCTCCGGGATCGGCGACACTGCAACATCCCTCAGTGGTACCTGCAAAGCCCAAATGTCAGTCTAGAACTTGGTGTTCTTCCCATTTGAAATGTTCCAAGCACATCCTTTCCGGAGAATAGGATTAGCTTTGGTTATGCTTTTCCAGGTAAAGGAACTTCCCTGTTTCCCCTCGAGCATTGAAAGTCCTTCTCTATTCCGCCCGTACTTCCCCCACACGACTTGAGTCCACAAAGTATCTTTCTCTTGCAGAACCCACCATCCGCTTTTTGCCAGGAGCGCTATATTTGAGTGTCTTAGCGAACGAAGACCAGCTCCTCCGTTCTCTTTCGGTTCGAGGAGCTTCTTCCATCCCACGAGGTGAGAGTGTTTTTTGTCCTCTGTGTCGCCCCAAATGAAATTCCTGTTGATCTTGTCAATCTCCTTGCATCCTGAGGATGGGAGCATCTCTGTCTGCATGGAATAAACAGGAATGGAGGTAGAGACTGAACATACAACAATTAAACGAGCAGCAAGAGAGAGTTTCTTAGCTTTACAGGATGAGAGCTTCTTCTGAACCTTCAGGATTAGCTCTCTGTATCGGTCTTTGGTGACTCGAGAATTAATGGCCATGACACCCAGGTATCTCCCTATATCTGAGGTGAGAGGGATCCCTGCTCGGTTGCTGTAGGCAACAACGGTGTCTCTCGGCACATTAGGCGAGACAAAGATCAGCGATTTCTGAAGGTTCACTCGTTGTCCCGAGCTAGAACAAAACTCCTCCATGCACTCCTTAATAATTGCTATCTGACCAAGCCCCGCCTCCGCAAAGAGCATCAGATCATCTGCAAAAAAAAGATGGAAGAGTTTTGGGCCACCGGGGGAGAGCGTCAAGGGTTTCCGACGTTTTTCCTCGATGACCTAGTCAATTCGATGAGAAAGACGTTCCATGCACAAAACAAAGAGATAGGGGGAAAGAGGATCTCCCTGTCGAACACCTCTGCTGGGGGTGAGAGCATCTGAGAGCTCTCCATTCCAAGCTATGCGCATCCTATTCTTTTCAACACAGAACATGATGCAGTTGATCCAGGAGCTGGGAAGACCGATCTCTATCAAAGTGTCTCGGAGAAAGTCCCATCGAAGTCTGTCGTACGCCTTCTCCAGGTCAATCTTTATCACCACTCCACCTCTTCGCCCTTTTTCGCTTCCTGAGAGAGTGCAAAATCTCTTGGACGACGATGATATTGTCTGTCGTTTGTCATCCTGGGATGAAGCTGCTTTGTCTTGGAGAAATCCACTTCCGCATAAGAGGCTTGAGGCGGTGAGTCATCGCCTTGGTGATGGTTTTCAGACTCACATTGTTGAGCGAGATTGGTCTAAGCTGCGTTACCATTTCCAGTCTGTCCACTTTGGGAATGAGGACCAGAGTAGACTCCGTGATTGATTCTGCGAGCTGACCTGTATAAAAAAACTCCAAAGCCATGTTAGTCAAAGTCTTACCCACCGTAGCCCAATTACTTTGGTAGAACAAAGCTTGGAATCCATCCGGTCTAGGGACTTGCAAGGGTTTCATATCCATGATCGCCCGGTAGATATCCACAGCAGTAAAAGGACGAAGGAGACAGATCATCTCCTGCTGGGAGGCCCGAGAAAAACGATTCTTGGGCATGTGGTCGACATATGGGTAGGAGTCCTGTAAAAACAGAAGCTAGTAGTAGTCGAAAACGTGTTTAGTGAGGGCTGCCGGTTCCATTATCCACTCTCCTGCAGAATCCTTGAGGACTTTGATTTTGTTTCTTCTCTTGCGGATGCTAGCTTGTTGATGGAAATACCCGGTGTTCCGATTGCCAAACTTGACCCAATTCTCCCTCGATCTCTGGAACCATATCATCTCTTCTTGTTCCATCACTTTATCGAGCTCCTTTTCCATCTTAGTGAGCAGTTTAGCAAGCCCAGGCTCGAAGGCAGCTGCTAGGCGAGTTTGTACGCCTTTGATCCTATTTAGTAGCCTTCGTTTTTTATGGAACAGGTTTCCCACTGTGTTTTTGCTCCACTCCTTGAGGTAACTAGTCGTGGCCTGCAGAGCCGCGTGCAGGGAGCTGTTAGGATCCCAAATACCTGCCAAAAAGGGGGCAAAATTATCATGTGCGAGCCAGGCGGCCTCGAATCTAAATGGACGAAGAGAAGAGTTGATAGAGCTCCGACCCCCAGTGGAGGTAAGGATAGGGGAGTGATCCGACTGCAGCCGCGGAAGATGAACAACTGCAGAATTCGGAAACAACTCATTCCAAGACGTATTGCAGAGACTCCTTTCAATCCTGCTGGCTTTGTAAGTTCTCGCAGCATCTCCTCTTGACCACGTGAAGCGAGGACCTGAGAAGCCTAGATCAACCAAGTTAGCCTGATCGATAAAATTGTTAAAGGCTTGGTAGCGACGAACAGTACTTGCCGTGCCCAACCCGGACCTCTCATTCAGAGATCTGAACGCATTAAAATCCCCGGTTAGCAACCACGGCAGAGAAATGGTGGAGCTATAGCTAATAAGAGAATTCCAAAGGCTCGGCTGCAATTGATAGTTAAGAGAAGCATAGATAGCAGTAAGATAAAAACTTGGAAAGTTGGCGGTAGTAATCCTGGCTGTGAGGTGCTGAAAGCAAGCAGAGGTGATTTCTACATCGAAAACTTTCCTGTCTAAACACAGCCAAATACCCCCACTTCTACCATTTGCGTCAACACGAACGATATCCGGATATCCAAGCTTTCCGCAAACCAAGTCTGCAGTAGCGCCGCTAATTTGGGGCTCCAGTAAAATGAGGATGTCTGGTTTGTGTTGGTTGGTAATTAGCTTCAGCGCTCAGAGAAATGCTCTGCTACCTGCACCGCCCACATTCCAGGACATGATATTAATATTGGTCATATCTACCATTAAAGAAAACAAATAAAGAGAATGAGGAAAGAGGAAAAGGGCAGAGCAGCGTCAAGGCTCTTTCGCCAAATCGGCGTTGCCCGGACTGAGTTCCGATTCAACAGCGGTCATGGCGGTGGCCCCCGTCGAGAATTTAGAGGCGGTTGCCGACTGGTTTCGCGTGGTTGAGCTCCACGCTTCAATTTCTTGGAGAGTGAGGGAGAGGAGCTTGTCCCGTGGCTTGTTTTTCTTGTCTTTTTTGGGAGACCAAATTTGAACAGCCTTGGTCGCTGCTGCCATCGGTATTCCCTGCTTGGTCAGACGAGGCGAGCTCCCCTTCTTCTTCTTCTTGATACGCAGGCTGGATAGGGGCGCTTCTGGGTCGATTTGCCGATGGGAAGGAGGCTCAGGGCAGGGGACATCCAGAATGGTCACCGTCAATGCAGTCAAAAGCGCGATTCTACCTAGAAGCGGAAATTGGGTAAAATCGTAAAGCGTAGAATCAAAGCGTAAGTTCTTGACGCATGCTATAAAATAGCTAAAAATTTCTGTTTAGTACGACACATACTATGTAAAATTTAAGTATACGTAATTTAGATAATTTAATAGGCACCTGCAAATCATGTCTTAAGTAGAGAAACTTATAGCATCTTAACAATAAGTTCATAAACATTGATTTCATGAAAAAAATACTCATTTGGTGAAGTAGAAGCGTAAAAGTGTAAAGCGTTTTGGTGAGCTAGAAGCGTAAAAGCATAAGCTTTTAAGCTTTAAAGCGCAATTTAGTCCGATTTTACATACTAAAGATTTTATATAGAAACGAAAGCGATTTGGTGTTCTAAAAGCGTAAAACCGTAAGTTTTTAAGTTTTAAAGCGGGATTTTAACTGCATTGGTCACCGTCTTCCCATCCGGCCCGAAGACAGTACGGGTCTTAATTCCTTCCAGGCTTAGCCCACTAGCTGTTGTCTTGTCCGATTTGGGCACTTTGTTTAGGCTCTGTTTGGAAGACGATGGGTCCAAAAGAGGAGACGCAGAAGCTGGTTGCGGGCCGGGGCCCAACAAGCCTTTATCACTTGCGTGGACGGCCAGGGGCGAGGGATTTTGTTTCAAAATAGTCGTTGGCACCGGTGCTGAGACTGGCCGGTTCATAGTCGCTTTCTTTCCATTCTCGTTTTTCTTTTCAACTTTTTTCCATATTGGGCATTCCAACTTGAGGTGTTTCCGCCTGATTTTTGGCTTGGTTCGGCAATTCCATCGCCTTAGCAGTAGTGTGACTATGGCCAATATTCTTTCCTTTTGCGTTTGGTTTGTTGCTCCCCAAAGAAGGTAAGTTGAATCCCCCTTCCTTTTGTGGCTGATTCTTCTTTTCTGATTTCGATCCCTGTAATTTTGCCTGATCAGCCGCCTGCTGTGATGAGTCCTTCCTTTCCGGTTTACGACTTTTCCGGGTCACTTGCATCCACGGGCCGAAACCCGCCGGCGCCTCCGTCTCCCGCAGCGGTAACGTCTGAGAGCTGATCGTCGTAGCCGAATTGCTCGCCGTCGCGGTCAGATCACGGCCAAGCTTGGGACATATGGATTCCGCGTGACCGACGATCCCACACCCAAAGCAAGCGTTGGGAAGGTTCTCGTAAACCACTTTTTGCCAGAAACCATCCAATCTGATGCGTGGCTTCAGGGGTTTAGACATATCTAACTCAATGGCTATCCTTGCAAACTTTCCCCTGTGGCCATGCTCGGTGTGGTAGTCCAACTTGATTGTTCGCCCGATCAGATTCCCAAGTGCAAAAAGGACTTCCTTGTGATAAAAGTGCACTGGGAGGTGAGGGAAACGAACCCAGGCTGTGACGGTTCGTGGGATTGCCTCGCCCACCCGAAATTCCGGTGACCACTGGTGAACTATTGGATAATGATCGAGGAGAACCCACGGGCCACCGGTGAGAGCTTTAAAGTAATCTTGGTCATTGTCAAAAGTTGCCAAACAGACGTCGTCTTCCAAATCCATAATTTCCATCCTGCCGACCGGTCGCTACATCCAACGTAATTGAGAACAGAGGTAAGCGTAGGTGAGTTTCCGGCCAAGGAGACGGACCACCAAGGTCTTCTTCCACGGCGAGCAGAGCCGGGACTTTAGGAAGTCGGAGACTATGAGTTCCGGTTCCCCTTGGAAGGAGGTAGCCACTAAATCGTGCTCGCCTACGAACATCCATGGGGTGACCGCCTTGGTTGCCAGGGCAGTCTCGCCTGACAGGGCCGCCTTATAAGACATCGTTGGCTGGTTCGGAAGACCCGTAGCGGCCTTGTGAGTTGGGTCATCGGGTGGAGGTGCCATGGAGGTCGTCGCTTGAGGATTCGCCACCCCGCCGGGGACGATCGTGAGCAAAGTGTTGTCGCTCGGTCGCATAGGCTTGCCTCCGTCATTTCCAATTCCGGTGGCCGAACGGTCGGTGAGAGATTGGGTGACGGAGAAGAATTTGAGAGAGTTTTCGGTGAGAGCATTTCTTCGTAAGTTGTCAATCCCATTTGCTTTAGCTAATACCTTCAGCTGATAGATAGGATCAGTTCAGTCCTTTTCTTTACGAGTATTGATCCCTTTTTCCCGGTGCCTTCTTTTGTAGTTTTGTTGGATGCAGCTGCAAGAGAAGTTGGACATTTAGCGGGATGGTTTGGGCTTGAATTGGTAAACTCGAAATACATCGAGTTAAAAGGCTTTAAAACAATTTGATGGCATAGTGGCTAAGGATGTGAATGCACAATGGCACTAAGGCTTGGAAACTAGAAGGATCGAATGAACGAGTCGATTATGCCATATATCAAAAGGAAGATTAGTAGTGCTATAGAAAACATAACAAACAACATACGGAGATAGAGGACCAGCCAGGGAAGAAGAAACTTAGAGGTGATACATTCATATTTTTATTTAAGGGTAAATACAATTTAATATCCAAACCTTTTATTTTAAACAATATAAAAGCCAAACCTTTTCGAAAACAATCTAATATCCAAATCGTCGATTTTTTGTCTGTTTGACCGTTAGTTGACACTTCAAAAAAGTTCGAAGTACGACACTTCATCAATATCCATCGATATCTTCTCTGAAAAACCACCAACATATCGTAGTTCCAAACTCGAGAAGTCTATGACTCCACCATGATGGTATATAATATCTAAATATTCAGTCATCTGCAATGCCAAAACAAGAAAACAAAGTTGTATTGTGACAATTTCCACTAAACAAAGCTTTTTTGAAGTGTCAACTAATGGTCAAACGAACGGAAAGTTGACGATTTGGATATTAGATTGTTTTCGAAAAGGTTTGACTACTATATTGTTTAAAATGAAAGGTTTGGATATTAAATTGTATTTATCCTTTATTTAATTATATTAATCATTCTTCGGGATGAAAGATCATGAATTAAGAGAATTGATAAAAAAGGTAAAACACATTTGGTTTTGACCAAGTTACTAATGACACCAAATTACAGGTAACATTAAGAATGCACATAACATCATGCAATAGTGAGGTGCAATAGTGAGGTGGAGAACACATTAATAGTACCTACAATAGTAACCTTGACATGACTATCATTAGGGAGAGACAAACATATTCACTATTGCCTGATGGGAACTAAACAATTGTAAGACAAAATTGACGTGGTCTATAACGCTATCGTCTAAAATCTAAACGACTGATTGGTGATACATAAACTATATGGTTTTATCACCTAGATTTTACATAATTTCTTTACAACTTTATTCATTTTAATTTGGACTAAATTACACGTTTGGTCACTCCAATTATACAAATCTTTCACGTTTGCCACCTGAATTACTTTTCTTTCATATTCACCACTAACTTTATGAATCGTTTCACCGTTAGTCACCGGCCGTTACACTCCGTTAAATATGTCCTACGTGGCGGTCAACAATAAAATTTGACCGTTATTTAGATGACGTGGAAATTAAAAAATATATATATAAATTAATTTATTTTTCTATCTCATCATTCCACTTGGGTATATGATTTATAATATTACTTATTTAATAAAAATTAATTAAATTATAAAAATAAATAATATGATTAATGTCCCTCCAAATGATGTCCTGCTGCTTGCCGACGTCGGCAAAGTGTTCGATTTTTTTACAGTGAAGGTTGTTTTGCCTAAGCTTGCCTTGTCAATGGCAGCTTGAGGGGAACACACCAACGAACAACAAGAAAGGAACTTGTGGGTGGGGATCTAAGCAACAAAACAACTCACCTGTTTTCTTTTTTCCATTTTCAACTTGTGGGTGAAAAAGGGCCTGCTTGTTGTTGATCCGTTCGAATCGTCGAAACGGACTATGGATCTTGTTGATCCGTGCGTTGACCAAAAACGGAAAGAGGTCGTCTTCTTAATCGACTAACAAAGTAGACCAAAGCATAAACAAACCCAGAAACAAGATTTGGATTCCTGACCATAGACAGAGATCTGTGGGTTGAAAAAATAGAGTTGAAAGAAAAAAAGCAGAGCAGAGAGACAGGGGAGGGGATTTACCGAGGAAAGAAGGAGAAGAAGAAGAAGGCAGGAAGAACGATTCAAAGGGCTGAGAAGCGCCACCTCGATGGGTCTGAAGCAGGACAGTACCCAAACCGCCAACGTCACGGCCGCCGCCGCCGCTAGCACACGCCGCCATGGTGTTTCTGAAAGTCAGTAGCTTTTTTTTCTTTCTAAGATTGCGAGAAAATGGAAAAAAGAAAACAGGTGAGTTGTTTTGTTGCTTAGATCCCCACCCACAAGTTCCTTTCTTGTTGATTGTTGGTGTGTCCCCCTGAAGCTGCCATTGACAAGGCAAGCTCAGGCAAAACAACCTTCACTGTAAACAAATCGAACACTTCTCCGAATCGGGACATCAATCATATTATTTATTTTTATAATTTTTATTAAATAAGTAATATTATAAATCATATACCCAAGTGGAATGATGAGGTGGAAAAATAAATTAATTTATATCTTTTTTTAATTTCAAAGTCATCTAGTTAACGGTCAAACTTTATTGTTGACCGCCACGTATGACATATTTAACGGAGTGTAACGGTCGGTGACTAACGGTGAAACGATTCGTAAAGTTAGTGGTGAATAAGAAAGGAAAGTAATTCAGGTGGCAAATGTGAAAGATTTGTATAATTCGAGTGACCAAACGTATAATTTAGCCTTTTAATTTGAATTTACTTGATATTTGCTCAAAGGTACTATTGAAAGACTCTAGGTGTGCTATTATACATTTGATACTTTTTGGGTAGTTTTAGATATTTCAAGCCAAGCAATCGCAGAGGTCCATTCCATCATGGCATGAAATAGGACAAGAATATGAGCATCTGGGATAAAATGGAAGTGGCTTCAGAGGTTGGACGAGTGAGATATCGCTCAAACAAGTTGATGAGCCTAATCAGACAGAGCCCATTTCTGTAAGGATCCAGAAAATTTCAGAATCATGTGAATAAGCTTTACTTGGATCCCAAGCAAGATATATCTCGAAGATATTCCGTCTGGAAATGTTTTCTCCTAGAAAATCTCTTGAAAACCCCTATTTGGAGTCTATAAATAGACCTCTTGTGCTCCAATTGACACACAACTTTATAGAAGGGTTCATTTTCCTCTAGAGGAGCTCCAACCAAAATTCGTCCAGAATTTCGAAGGTTCAGAAAATGGCGCCAAAAACGGTGGCCATGACGCCTACTTTTGGAAATCATGTATATTCTCTCGTGAATCGAGGTATCTTCCAATTGTTGTCTTATGAGTGGCTAGATCCTTCTGTTGTGCAGGTTTGTGAATCGTACCGGTTCTAAAAATTGTTATTTTGTTGGATTGATGATAATATAGTATGCTTGAGTTGTTTTTTTAATCCTTACCGTTTATTGGCATTGATTATGTTACTTATTCGTGCTTCATATGAAAAAGATTGGAAACGACTTTCTTTTGTTATGAGATCACCAATGCTAATACATGTCTAGTGAATCGATTATAAAGGATAACCATAACAACAATATTTGATATAACACACATGCTATTTCTGGATCACCTTGCTCTTCTCTTGTAGTTACAACAAGTGCATAGGATAGGAATAGCAAGTTAGCAAACTAATAAAATGATATAGGAAGGTAAAACTCAATTGCATGTGCTTGAAAGTTGGAACTATGTAACAATCTAGAGTCTCTAGGATGAGTTTTACCTATAAAAACCATCCTTAACTGTTTCCCCTTTCTTTACTTTTTAGGGTCTTTATATTTCAAAACCTTTATTAAAAACGAGGTACCTCAACCTCAAACAACCAAACGTCTTCTAAACAACAAGTATCTTATTGGCTAATTAAGCGGACATGAGAGGCCTTGTGGGAATACAATTCTGGTTACCACCAGTCAGGTTAATTTGAACCATATCTATGTATTTTCTGCTTCTATTTGTTCGCAAATTATTTGTTTGATAGTCTATAATCATTTTTAAGTTCGAACACAGAGAGTGTAAAATTGGCTGCTAGGGTGACAATTTTAGCAAAATTTTGTGTCCTGACAACATTATTTAGAAACTCTTCACTTGACAGTTTCTGTGGATAAGCCCTGCATGAACCAGAGACATAACACACAATTCAATTCAGCCAACTTTGAAACATAACATGTAAATTTCGTACAGATTCAAGAATTAGAACAGTCGATAAAACGTTAGCTCCCCTCCTCCAATTCCAACAATTCAAACCAGCCCATTTTCGTTTAGATCTCTGACTCCATCACTACTTAAATCGGCATTCTTGATACTACCCTGTTCAGACTTCAGGGTTATGAAAAATGACAGTCCATGTGTTGGATGTGACATCATAAAACACCCTAGTGGTACAAGGGTACGTGCTACATGATAAGGCATCCTATAATGCGATTAGGATTGGGGATAAGGAAAGGATGGATGGATGGATGGATGGGCTCCCAGCAACAGCAAGCAAGCAAGCCGGGTCCATCAATCAGTCACACTAAGGGGAGCACGTGGAGAGTGTTGTGAAAAAGCCATTTCAAGGGCCCAGGAATCAGGCCCAGTCCAGGAATCAAATGCCCCTCCTCTCCTCCATTGTCGCTTCGCTTGCATCCATTTTCCTTCACGAAAATCATAGCGCAACGATTAAATTCACGACACTCGTCGTGAATAAGATCCACAGCATAAATGTCCTGATAAATTCGTTTGAAAAACCAAATTACATTATTTACACTTGTAATCGATACATCTAATAAAAAAGAACTATTAAGTGTTTAATAGTTGCGGCTATCAGATGCCGTCACCAACTCGTTAGTGCAAATACTTCGAGTTGTTGTGAGATGTTCAATTATATATCGTATGATTCGAGTTGTTGGGAGATGTTTAATTATTTATCGTATATCATTTACTAACACAACCCCTCAAATGAACATATGAGATTGAGGTTGCACAATTTTAAATACCACGTGCTTAATCTTTATCAAAGAAGATTTCAATACCATGTTAAGAATCAATTTATCTCAATAAATCGTAATCGGGCTAACAAAAAGGATCAGATTCGTTACATGGAGAGTCTGGCCATCACCAACTCATACATATGGCCAGTTGCATCTGTTTTTGCCTTTCCGTCCATGTGCATGTGGTCTGCTAGTGCTACACATGTAAGCGCCATGATTACTGAACTGCTGCTGCTGCTTTCTTTTCTCACACCCAATTTACAGCTATACAGATAATCAACATATTGACCCCAGCTCATGATCAGGAGATGGAAATGAAAGTACACGTCTATCTACCATGCCCATGACATTCCATTCCCTCTGCTCGCCGCCCATATATAATATAGTACAACTCATTCTTCATCATTACCAGCAAAACCATTCTGTTCTCCACTGATTAAT